CCTCGCAACTCATTTGTGATCGCGAAGGCGGGGCCGACCGACTCCAACCGCACAAGATCCCCCCTTCACTCTCCGCAACCCATGGGCTTTTTACCATAGGCGACCGTATTTCCAAGAACGCTCGGGCGACCGTTGGGAAGAGAATCGTCAACATGAAGAGAAGACCCCATCGTTTGGTGCAGCTTAGGCGTGCAGGAGCCATCGGGCGTAAGATTCATCAGACGGGTTTAAACACAGCGGCTTCATGCGGCACCGAGATCGCTGGGCTCGCGAACCCAGAGTTGCGAGATGGCAGGACCCTCTATCTTAAGATTGCGGGGCCCCACGGTGTTGCGAGGCCTCGCTCGATTGCGCTGGCTGTCTTGGGGGGCCCGACCTGGGGCCCGACCTGTCTTGGGGGGCCCGACCGGTGTATGGGGCAAATGTGATCTGGAGGATTGCGCACCAGCCTAGTACTGGTAGGTTCTCGATCCCAGTGTTCAGGTCCAAAGCCCAGCAGATCCTCGATAGCCCCTCGCAGTACTGGCATCAAATAAGAGGGCCCCTCGGGGCCACTATGCTCAGACTCAGGCGTCTGGGATGGACGATGCCCGACCCGTTCCTGTTCTGGGATCAGAACAGCCAGGCCTGCCCTCTCGTCACCGTGCCCCCCGCCCTCATCAAACATATGTTCCAGGAACAATGGCAGCAACAGATGCACAGGCGGGCGGCCAGCAAGCTATGTCTGGAGGACCAGCTGGACATCTCCGAGCTGCAGCGAACGCTGCAGAGCGAGGCCATCCCAATTCACATGAGGAAGTCTTAACTTACGTACGCGCGCCCGTGCGTACTTAAAGAGACAATAATTGCTGCGGGATGCAATGAGCACGTTCCCGCCAGTGCTTGGATTCCAGACAGCCCCTGAACCTACTGCCCTGAGGCCGCCAGATTTAGGATTAGATGCTGCAGTGGATCGGTCCAGACATGGCCAACCTAAAGACGTAGCTATGCAAGGCGAAGTGTTACACGCCAGCAATGGTTTGAAAGCAGGACATCATGTTTACAATGCGCCTGCCTGGTCCGTGGTAAAAATTGGCAGCGGAGGCGACCTTGTTGCCTGCTTGTCGGGCCCCGTCGGGGCAGCCTTGCCCGTGACCTCGCCCGCTGCCAAGCACCTAAGTTTTCTGGCTGCCGCATCCTGCCCTAGAGTCTCAAAAGCCTGGGCGGATTTCAAGGGCGTCCTTTCAGTTCACCAGAGCCCCTCAGTGTCGAGAGAGGAGATGTATGCTGGAGTCTCAGCCTCCGCCAGGACGCAAGACAGTTTCAAGATCCTGGAAGTGGCCAAGGTGATGGCCCACCAGGACCTCACTGCCCTTGAGGAGGAAGCCAGCGAGTGGTGAGTTGCCAAGAGTAGCGACTGGGTGGACAGGATGGCAAAGGCTGCAGCGGCCATGAGTCCAGCACTGTCCCCGCTCGAGATAGACTTGCATAATTCCGGGGCTAAGTGCCCCAAGCGATTCTCGGGGTACGCCGCCGAAGTCCTGACGTCGTGGGCCCCGCTGGCCCCGCAAGGCTTACGAGAAACCCACCCAGAGCCTTAGCCCTGCTGTCGGGGCCGCGGGAGCCGCTAGAGATTGGGTGGAGCCCCGCCCCAACCAACGGCCCAGCGCAAGGCCGGAGGAGTTCGAACCCCCTCCCGTCAAGCACCGGTGGGCGTGGCCGAATGATCGCTGGATGTGCCTGGCTTGCAATACGCGAGCCAAGACTGACACTACTGAGAAGGCCGCGCTTCAGAGAAGCGTGCCCAAATGATTATGTTGCCGTGTCTTCTCTCGTCCGTGCTCCAAAGTAGCACGATCGTTTTGCCTGTGATCCCCTCGAAATCGAATTCTTCATTGTTGTGTGCCGTGCGTGTGATCAGTGCTCTGAGAGCATCATCGAGTGTGTCAGGAGGAAGCGTGGATTTTTTTGGCATCAGGCCGACACCCCAAAAATGGCTGGAAGACCGCAGGCCGCCCGCTTGATTTCCGCTGCAAGGCTCTTAAATGAAGGGCGCGCGTGATGCAGCGGCCGAGGCAGTAGAGGAGAGGTGATGTAACCAAACCATCGGAGCCTGCGGTATCGGGTTGGGTCGTGTCGACCAACTCTTTGCTTCCCCCTTCACCATGCGATAATCTTACTCCTCCTCCTCAACCTCCTGTCCTCCACAACCGCTCAGCAATGACTCAAATTGAATACTACTCTCCTCTCTGCCCCGACTCTGTCTGGAAGATGTCCCGCCCTCTCTGCGTACTTGTTGACACAGGGCTGGACACCTGTGATTTCCCTCCTGCTTGTTTGACCATCTGATTGTTGTCGTTGTCTCGGAATGGCGTTGCCGCTGCAGCGTTGGCGTCATTTCTGGATCGGCGCTTTGCTCCCGCTGTTTCGAATGGCGCTCTCGCCACATCGCTGGTCACTGTTTGCTGGACTCGAGTATCTCCTCATCGTTGTCGCACCCCTCTCCTTTTCCCCGCCTCCGCCTTCCCTCCTGCTCCTCCCGCTCCTTCCACTCCAGCTCCTACTGCTGCTGTTCGGCCTCGTCCTCCTCCTTCCTCCTCCTCCTCATCAGCCTGCTAATCTTTCTGCTCAACCGCCCCCTCCTCCTCCAATGTACGCAGCTTCCTTTCCCCGATTGCGCATATCGGAATGGGGCTCTGTTCGGAATTCCAGGCCCGCTGTGACGCGCGTCGGCGGATAGGGAAGAAATCAGCGCAATGAGGCGGGATGTATGGCAGGGGTAGGATGTCAGATGCGGCGCGAGCGCACCTAGCTTGTCTCTCCTTCTCTCTCCTCTCCTCTCCTCGTCCCTCCTCCTCCTCCTCCTCCTCCTGCCAACGCCCCCCACCCCCCCTTTCGGAGCCCCTGGGGCCTCCGAGCGCGCCCCCCCTAGCCTATCCAGCAAGCTCGCCTGGAGGCCGCGGTCTTTCAAAGCGCGCACCCCTGCCCGGAGAGAGCGTTGGGCAAGGCGCCGGGGCTCGCAGTGCGTTTGACGCGGGCCAGCCCGATCGAGGAGACGAAGCGGTGGTTCCTGACGCCGCGCGGATCGCTCCACTCTGAACGATCGCGGCCTTGCCAGCGCTCGGACATCCGTCCCCCGTGCGCATTTCTCGATTCCGTGAGGCCTTCTTCTCTGGCAAGACGATCACGATCCAGGATGCTCCTCGATGGCCCTCGACCGAGGAGCAAATGCACACGTCCGAGCGATGCCAGGTGGCCTTCCGATCGCGCCAGGCTGTTGGATATTGGCCGCTTCGGGGCCCCCGGCGGCTCCTCAGCGCCCGGAGGGCGCCCGCGCTGGCCCCCCCCCCCCCCGCGCTCAAGGCGCTCCTGGCGCGACAGGCCACCCGCCGCACGCGCTGGTCGTGTGCGCCCTCTGCTCGGGGCCAGGAAGCTTTTGGGCTGAGAACATGGACTGCGCTCAAGGCGTTTTCTGAAACAGCACCCCACCGGTCGGAAGGAGCAGGCAGAAACATGAAGTAGGAAGGCGTTGAAAGTAGATCGGGTTCCGTCCGCCCCCCAAGGAGGACGGAAAAGGTGAAGCCCTTCGATGAGTGAAGTAGGAAGGCGCTTAAAATAGATTGGAATCTGGGAATCCAGAAACACCTACTTGTAACGACCGATTGGTAGTCCAGGTTCAGGTGTACGAGGACATTCGACGCAAGAAGCAGCTCCAAGGAAACGCCCAGGGTCCAGTCCAGATCCTTCATTTCTTGGGTGAAATCTGGAGTCCAGGGAAGGTCGACGCTGTCTCTAAAGAGCTCTCGTGGGTGTATTACATGGGTCTGGGGCGTCCCGATGGCCTCCCCGAGGCTTTGAGCATGTCCGTGCCGAAATCTCGGCGGCGAACCCCCGGGGGGAGGTGAGCAGAGAGCAGAAAACCCACCCCCGCAACAAGCACTCGGACAAGCGAAGCCGTTTAGTGAACGCATCCAGAGGAGGAATCGAGCACGGCAGGGCTGTTTAGTAAACGCCCAGAGCCGTTTAGCAAAAGCCAGTTGTCGGGGTCGGGGTGGCTTTTCCTCCCTCGAGTGAGAGGGGGAAGGCGGGCCCTCTCAGAAGGCTCGGAAGTCCTCCGGCCTTGTGGGGAGGTTTCGGTGCCTTGTGAGAAGACGCAGAAACAACTTCTCAGAAACCTGGAGCGCCTCTGAGAAGCCCTGGAACCTTCCGAGAAGTCGTTCTCCTTCTCACTTCCCCCCCTCGCTCGCCGCCGGAAATCGCCTTCAGTTCGCATGTCGTGCCTCGCGACATGCGATTATCTTGCGTTCTCGCGCCGCCCCTAGAGACAACAACACATCTCCTCCAGACCGCGAAGCGCGGTTATTTTCCCCGGCCGCGGGTGACCCAGAGAACACGGAACATCCTCCGTGGTCGCGCCCTCTGGGATACATTTCTGATCGAACCCCACCGAACCACGAAGATGGGAGACACTCAAGGCGTGTCTCTGGTCCTTTTTTAATATTAGGTCTCCCTGCAAAACACGACCTCTGAGCCACTCGGCCCGCCCCCTAAAACCCAAGCTCCGTGAAACGTTTCAATCGCGCTTTGGGTGGCTGGAAGTGGAGACTCCCGTGCCGAAGAGAACACGAACGCGCGTCTCGCGGGTCAACGCTCTGTCCAAATCTGGACTCGAAGATGACCGCGAACCTGGCCAACAAAAACAATAATACCTCCCACGGAACCTGCAGTCCCAGTCTGTGCGCAAATACGTCCCACTTGATCACTTTTTAGTTAGCCGTCCTTTCGAGGCCTATCCAGATGGGATGCCGCAAGTCCGCATGTCCCTCAGACGCACTGTGTACTACTTGCTCACATGTGCTTTCAGAGAACATGTCGCATTCATACACGTATTGTACACTATTTCCATACACGCATAAACATATGTATATAGAGATGTAAGTCTGTATAGTCACGCATTCTTCCAACACTGAACCGAAAAATCCTGTCCATGAATTCCTCCCAAACGCCCGCCTGAACACTTCATTGGGCAGTGCCCTTCCGTTAGGACGCGGGCTCCTGGCAGCCAACAGCTTGGCAACTTTAGGATGAAACAGCAGGGGCTAGAGCATTTCGTCAAGCAATCTTTTTCCCACTACTTCAAGGAGTCCAGACGCATGCCACGAAGATGTCAGTCGACTTCATCTGCGGTAGGGCTATCGAATGCACATTTCGTTTTTGCCCCGTGCGCGACAATAACCCATGGACATGCTGGAACCTCAATGGATTTGAGGGGGCATCTTCGGGACAACCTCCGCGTCTTCGTTGGACAGTTCGTCACTCGACAAGAATTTACGCAGTGAGACCTCGTGCAGGACGCGCAACTCATCTGCACCTGTGGTAATTCGACCACTGGCACAGAGAGGGAGGAATCCTGTGGTGGCGGCTCAGCGTCCCTCAAAGCCACAAATGCGGGTTCATCGCTGGCCACAAAATTCTCTAACGGATGGGGCTCCTCCTGCTGCTTGTCGCGCTGGTCATCGTCGGACGAGCCACCGTCGTCACGATCCAGTAGTGAAGAGGTATTCTTTCGGTGTGCCACCCAGGAAGCGTTGCCCCTCCCAGGAGCGCCATTGCCCCTGCCAACCTTGGCGGACACCGAAAGGCGAACGACAAACCCGGGAGATCACGCCTCCAACACGTCCGAAACTTTTGCGCGGCGCCGGAAAGTGTAGAATATCTCCCGCTCGTAGAAAGGGTTGCCTTCGCCAGTGCGGCTGTCAATAATATCAAAATGTGTCGACACATTCTGCTCGAAGTCGATCACCTGGCTAGCTCCAGAGACCCTGGCTACATTAGCATTGACATCTTTCGGTGGGCCGGCCTTTACTGCCGCTGCATTTTGCCGGCGAACCAGCCAATGCCCTACTTCGGCCGGCTTCCGCGGGCCTCCGCCGAGCGCGAGAAGTCAAACCCTGGATGCGTCGAGGACAAGACAGTTCCTGGACCCCAGCTCGGGGGCTTGTTGCTCGCTCCTGGACCCCACTTCGGGGGCTTCTTGGAAGCGGTTGGCTCCTTCTCAGAAGCTTCTGGCAAAATCTTCTAGGGGAGCAAAAGAGCTTCTGAATGACGGGGTGCCGTCTGAGAAGTCCGCAGCTCTCGCCCCGTCCCTTCCCCAGACCCCCGACGTCGTTTTTACTACTACAACGTGGGCCCCTGGGGGTCTCGACCCAGTCACCAGGGCTGGTTTCCCGCCCTTGGCAGCTGTCTGACAGCCCCGGGGCCCAGCGAGGGCCCCCAGAGGCCAGAAATAGCAAGAACCACTTCCCGCCCCCTTTTTTTTCCACTGCGCAATGGGGGTTTGGGTCGTGCGCGCTTCCGAAAATGGCGGCGCGCACATAGGGGTATGGGGGAGGGAGGAAGGCTTCTTAGAAGGAGGCCGCTTCTCAGAAGTCGCCCACTCTACACAGACAGACAGGGCCCGCGCCTTCTAAGAAGCAGGGGTGCTTTTCTAACAAGCCCTCCCCCCTCCCCCTACCCCCCTTCTGCGCGTGTCCGAACGTGCGTGCTGCCGAACCTCGTCCCGCAAATTCCTCACCTTTGCACGCCCGAAATGGGTACGGACAAAATGGGTACGATGCCCAACCACACATGTTGTCCAAAGCCGACCGCGGCCGCTGCCAGGCAGGCGACTTCCTGTCTCGAATGGGCAAGGCCAGAGGCGGGATGGACAGCGAACCCGGTTCAAAGTGCACAGGAAATGCTGCTGCAGAAAAAGAGACTCCGCGCGGATTTCTTGGATCTCTGCTGAACCCCCCCCCCTCCCTGGCGCGCGGAGCGGGCCCGGGGCGGCGCCGGAGGCGCCGCCGGGGGGGCCCCAGCGCGGATCCAAGAAATCCGCGCGGAGCGCCAAGAGCTTATGCTTATGGCGTTTTTTTTCTTGCTCGATGTTGGTGAAGGGGCCATGGGACACACAAATAAATACACACAAATAACATATTCCCCATATTTTCCCATATTTTCTTGGTTTTTGTCTTCCAACCCACTTCCCAGATTTTCCCATATTTTCCTGGGAATCGACGATTAATTGTGTCTGTGTGTTTTTTCTCCTCCTGAGTTGGGCATCGTGCCCAAAGTTTCCGTGCCGATTTTCGACCGTGCCGCTCACCTCGAACGTGCCGACGCCGGCCCCCGCCGGCGGGACGCCGAGGTCGACCCAGAGGCGCCCCCCGTCGCCGAGGACCCGGTGCGCCTCCGCCGCGAAGGCCCGCACGTCCGTGAGGTGGTCGACGATGTTCGTGTAGACGTGCCTCGTCGGCGGGGCGTAACCGCTGGAGGAGGACGAGGAGGAGGAGGAGGAGGAGGAGGAGGAGGAGGAGGAGGAGGAAGGAGGAGGAGGAGGAGGAGAATCACGCAACCGGCGGCGACGTCTGTTTTCTTGCCGCGAGCTGCCGCCGCTCCCCCCCCTCCCTTTCCTTTCGGCGGCGGGCAGGACGGGTCCTGAAACCTCCTCCTCCTCCTTCTCCTCCCCCTCCTCCTCTGTTCCTTTTCCTTATAGATAGCTTCTCCCTGTCGCACCCCTAGGCTAGTTTTTAGGGCGGTCCGGGCGTTTCGCCTGAGAATTCCTCACCATTTACGACCCTGAAACTTAAAGCATGACAGCAATTTCACAGATGGAGGGCGGGTGGTTTTGAAAATGTGGCTCTCGCCTTAGCGCCGCGCACATTCGTTTCAAACATTTGCAAGAGTTACGCGGATTGAGGGCGGGTGGTTTTCAACATGGGGCTCTCGCCTTAGTGCCGCGCACATTCGTTTCAAACATTTGCAAGAGATACGCGGATTGAGGGCGGGTCGTTTTCAACATGTGGCTCTCGCCTTAACGCCGCGCACATTCGTTGCAACAGCTTCACGGATTGGAGGCGGTTCCTTTTCAAAATGTGCTCTCGCCTTAGCGCCGCGCACACTCGTTTTAAACAATTGCAAGAGCTTCACGGATACCCATGATCAGCGTGCAACAAAAGGATTCAGGATTATCAAGGCGCAACAGTTACGTTGATTCGCGGTGTTGAAGATCAAGAGTGGCGTTCTGGCACGACTGAGGACCGTCAAGACGCAACAATCAGGTTGATCCGTGGCGTTGGAATCCCGAGAACGATGTTTTGGCATGCATCAGGGTCTTCAAACGGTTGTCTTCCAACGAAGCAGTTCCCTCAACAGAAATGATCCCTTGTAGGGGCCTATGAAGGGGGAGCTTGGAGGGAAGGTTTCTTCCAACATTGTTGATCATTCTTGGGCTTACACTGGTCCCACTCCTCCTCAGAAGGCCGCCGAAATAAATGATTAGTTACCCCCTATTGGGGGGGGAGGTTCGGAATACATTTCAGTGTCAAAGATGGGGTGGGGGCAGAAGTGGGGCCAAAAAAACACGGCTCCAAACGGATCTGGAAGAAGGCAAGATGAGTGTCCAACTGGGTTGGTTTCCTACACCCCTGCCTAGGAGTTAAGACAGTTTTACGCCAAGGAAATGAAAATCACTCCAAACCTTTTCTTAAACAATAGCCCAATTATAGATATACGAACAATCTACGAACAAAACAAAAGGCTCCAAGAAAACGCCCGGGGTCTAGCCCAGGGTCTTGATTTTTCTCCAGTGAAATATGGAAACCAAGAAAATGTATGCTCTTTTCTTCAGGTGTCTGGTGGGTGGAGCCCCACCTTGGGACAACTCCCCCTTGACGAACCCCCGCGCCTGAAGACGCCGTCCGCGAACTGCAGGCCGGCGGCGCGCAGGGTGTGCGGCTGCGGTCGAGGGCCTTCTGGACAGCCTGTTGCCCTGGCGACACGCTATATCCCTTGCAAGCGGCTGGCGCGTCGCTCTGCTCCGCGGGGCGGGAGGCTCAGAAAAGCATGGGACGTTAACGCGTGGGGGCTGGGCAGTGTATAGCGTGTCGCGCAAAGGCGTGGTAGGCCAGAACTGGCGGAGCTACACGCTAACCCAGAGCTATACGCTCACCCAAAATTACCGGCCGTAGAACCCTGAGATTCTGGCGTCGCAGATTGTGCACAACGGGCGATTTTGCCTTGCTTAGGGCCCTGGGACCCTCAAGGATCGACCTGGCTAAACACATGGCGCAGAAAAATGGAGACCATGGCTCCAGTCGAGTTTTTTTGTTTTGTTTTGTTTTGTTTAGCTTTGTTTTGTTTTTTTGATGTTGCAATTTTTTCGCGACGCTGGATCTCAGAAGTGGTCATGGCCCGAGGTGTCCCCAGCTTCGTGTCACCTTGGGGCCTCCCCGGGGCCCTCTGGGCCTTGTGACGGGGTGCTATGGAATCCACCTGCGCTTCCCCGTGGAGAGCTGGGGCCACCCTGGGCCAGAGCCACTTCTGGCAGCGCCTGGAAGGCCCTGAGATCCGACGTTGCGAAAAAATGGCAACATCGTAGAAAATCACGCCCAGGGCCCTAGACCCCATCCTCCTGCGTCCATTGTCGAGCCGGATCGATCTGTGGGGGTCCCGGGCCCGAGACCGAGCGACAGTGCAGGTGGTGAAAAAATTGCAACGCGGGGGTCTCAGGGGGGGGGAGCAGTGCGACGAGGGCGGCAATCTGAGAAAGGCGCTCGTGGCCTCCGCTTCTTGGGCAGGCGTGGCGCGGGCGGGCTCTCAGGCGGGCGGCCCCTCTGAGACTTCTGGGCCACAACTTTAGGTCGGGCATGTCCTCTTGCAGTTTTTTGTATATATATATATATATATATATATATATTATATATATCTTTATAATTGCCTAACAGCTTGTGCTGATAAGTTTCTAGTAGGGTCAAAAGAGAGCATCATGACACTCCAGGGGGGTCCGGGCGGAAACCGACAGAAACCAGGAGAATCCGTCGGAGCTCATTGTAGCCAACAGTAACGCACTTCGTGGTCCTGGAGTTCCCAGAACTGCATTCTGGGCATGATTTTGAATGCCCGGAGCCAACTGTAGGCCACTTCGTGTTCTTCGAGTTCCCAAAACTCCATTCCTGGGCATGATTTTGAATGCCCGGAACCAACTGTAGGCCACTTCGTGGTCTTCGAGTTCCCAACATTCCATTCCTGGGTATGATTTTGAATGCCCGGAGCCAACTGTAGGCCACTTCGTGTTCTTCGAGTTCCCAGAACTCCATTCCTGGGCATGATTTTGAATGCTGAAACAGGCTGATGCTGAGGCTGAAGCAGGCTGAGGAGGCTGAGGCAGGCTGAGGCTGAGGCCGAGGCTGAAGGCAGACTGATGCTGAGGCTGAAGCAGGCTGAGGCTGAGGCTGAAGGCAGGCTGATTCTGAGGCTGAGGCAGGCTGATGCTGAGGCAGGCTGAGCTTGAGGCTGGGGCTGATGCAGGCTGAGGCTGACGCAGGCTGAGGCTGAGGCCGAGGCTGAAGGCAGACTGAGGCTGAGGCTGAGCAGGCTGAGGCTGAGGCAGAGCTGAGGCAGGCTGAGGCTGAGGCTGAGGCTGAAGGCTGAGGCTGAGAGGCTGAGGCTGAGGCTGAGGCTGAGGCAGGCTGAGGCTGAGGCTGAGGCTGAGGCTGAGGCTGAGGCTGAGAAGGCAGGCTGAGGCTGAGGCTGAGGCTGAGGCTGAGGCTGAGGCTGAGGCTGAGGCTGATGAGGCTGAGGCAGGCTGAGGCTGAGGCTGAGGCTGAGGCTGATGCAGGCTGAGGCTGAGGCAGGCTGAGGCCGAGGCTGAAGGCAGACTGAGGCTGAGGCTGAAGCAGGCTGAGGCTGAGGCTGAGGCAGGCTGAGGCTGAGGCTGAGGCAGGCTGATGCTGAGGCAGGCTGAGGCTGAGGCTGAGGCTGATGCAGGCTGAGGCTGAGGCAGGCTGAGGCTGAGGCCGAGGCTGAAGGCAGACTGAGGCTGAGGCTGAGCAGGCTGAGGCTGAGGCTGAGGCAGGCTGAGGCTGAGGCTGAGGCTGAGGCTGAGGCTCAGGCTGAGGCCGGCTGAGGCTGAGGCCGAGGCTGAGGCAGACTGAGGCTGAGGCTGAAGCAGGCTGGCTGAGGCTGAGGCTGAGGCAGGCTGAGGCTGAGGCAGGCTGAGGCTGAGGCTGAGGCTGAGGCAGGCTGAGGCTGAGGCTGAGGCTGATGCAGGCTGAGGCTGAGGCAGGCTGAGGCTGAGGCCGAGGCCGACGGCAGACTGAGGCTGAGGCTGAAGCAGGCTGAGGCTGAGGCTGAGGCAGGCTGAGGCTGAGGCTGAGGCAGGCTGATGCTGAGGCAGGCTGAGGCTGAGGCTGAGGCTGATGCAGGCTGAGGCTGAGGCAGGCTGAGGCTGAGGCCGAGGCTGAAGGCAGACTGATGCTGAGGCTGAAGCAGGCTGAGGCTAAGGCTGCGGCAGGCTGAGGCTGAGGCTGGCTGAGGCTTCCATATATGCTCCTACACATCGCTGTTAGTTTTTTTGTATGTATACTATTATTATTATTATTATTAGTATTATTATTATCATTATTATTATTATTATTACTATTATTAATATTATTATTATTATTGTATATAACTATATGCATATATATACTTATATATATACATATATATATATATACATGTTTTTTATGTTTTTTTTTGTTTCTTTCGTGCCTTGTCGCCATTTCGTCTCCGCTCCAATGCGTCGTCGCTAGCCGTGGGGCCGCAACCGCCGCCCCCGCAGCTCCGGAACCAGGTGCTGCGAGGGCTTTGGTTTTGGCCGCACAGTGTCCGTGGGCCGCGATCAGATGATGAATGCCGCGCCACCTCCCCAGTGGCGCAGCGGCCAGAGCCAAAGGCCAGCGTTCAGAGACGACACTGCCCCTGAAGTTCATTGCATACCCTGAGACAGAGCTGTTTCGGCTCCCAAAAACACACCAGCAGGGGCAGGCCACCCAGGCCCTGCACGGAGGTCAACCCACGCATCGGCAACAGCCACATGCCTCCGAGTCAAAAGACGGAGGCGAGCTTCAAAGTTTTGCTGGGCCGTGCCAGGCCGGCTCAGCCTCGCACAGCGGTGAGCATGCAGGAAAGCATCACACATGCAGGCAGACAGCGGCGACACATTCGGGGGAAGAGGATAGAGCTGAATCAGCGCGGCAATCGATGGAATCATCACAGGGGGAATTGGAAACGCAGTACCCATCCATTGGACACATAACTCGCGGACGCGATGGTATATTTTGTAATGACGTAGATCATCATAGCCCCGAGACATATCAAATCCATATTCCCGATGAGTACACCCAAATTTACAGCCACGAGGATGAGAGTGGAATCGGGCACTCGTACACGCAGCACGCGTGCAGATACGAAGAACACACACAGCAAGGTGAGGGGAAGTCGCTGCTGCGTTGCGTCGGTTACGAAGGACAAGATTGGAGAGATGAGTGCAATCCACTTCAGGCAGCCACTTTCTCTTGCAGGCGGATCTTGAGCAAAGCATTCAGACATGCGGTGTGGGCAGTGGATAAGGAACCCTTGGACCTGTAAGGGGTCCAGGGTCTGGAAACCAGTGGAACTCCAATCGTGGATCGGCGCCATGGATATCACCGCCGCCCGCGTTGGATGAGGGATCCTCCAGGGTCTTGCGCCTCCTGGGACTGTTCCGCAACAGACGCCTCCACCGTAGCGACATCGTCAGACATGGTTGAAACATCGTCCCCAGATCACTTTTTGACTGGTTGTGAGTACTGTTTCTGCAGGGGGACATGCCCGACTCAAAACCAGAACTATCGCCCCCAGACTGCCTTTCTGTTTTTTTTGGGGGACAATTTGTGAAACATCGTCCCCGGACTATTCTTGGACTAGTTGGGGATGCTCCTCGTGTAGAAGGATGTGCCCGACTTAAAACCAGAACTTGGGACTGCAGCGGCCGCTCGCGGCTTGACCTGGGCCCCCCCCCCGGGGAACGCCCTCCCCAGCGAGGCGCCGCTGCTGCTGGAGAGCCTCCCGCGGCGAGCAGCGCCTGCCCACGGGCCTGCGTGAAATCGGGCAGGTCCCTCTGCAGGAGGAATGTATAAATTCCCTCGGTGCAGCGCCGCGCCAGCAAAGGGCACAGACGCCTTGGCGCGGCGGACAGGACGGTCGGGCTCGCGGCGTAGGGCGACCCCATGGCGCACCCCGCGCGCCGACCCGGCCCCGTAGCCTGGCCGCCTGCGCTGCACTACATATTCCCCCGACAAGCCCCCCCAAAAAAAAACGCCGAGAGGCCAGAGGGTGGTGAGGGTGGGGAAAAGGGAAGCCCGCAGGCGCGTGGGCCCCCGCAGGGGCCCGCCTGCCGTGGGACACACAATCTGCGGCCGCAAGCGCGTGGGCCCCTTCGGGGGCCCGCCTGCTCCTGGTCCTCGCAGGCTCCTGGGCCCCCGCAGGGGCCCGCCTGCCCTTCGGCCGTTACTTGCTATCCCGCCACGGACCCGGGCGGACGGTGGGCACGGGCCGCCGCCGAGAGGCGCGACGGCCCACCCGAGACTCGAAACCGACGGACGAGGCAGCAGCACTACAGCCCTGGCGAGCAGCGCGAGGCTCGGGGAAACGAAGGAGCGACTGAGTCAAGAGCGCCAGGCTCGGAGGAGCGAAAGAGCGATTGAGTGACAGAGGTACGGAGGTAGTCGAACGCGGGACGGCACCAGGAATTTATACGCCTGCCAAACCTTCGATTTACAGGGTATATAAATTCCCTCGGTGCAGCGCCGCGCCAGCAAAGGGCGCAGACGTCTTGGCGCGGCGGACAGGACGGTCGGGCTCGCGGCGTAGGGCGACCCCATGGTGCACCCCGCACGCCGACCCAGTGGGCGCCCAGCCGCAGCCCGCCGTGCCAGCCGGCGCAC